TTACAATAAAAGGGTTTTTTGTTTTTTTGTATTCTATTATGTTGTTGTGGTTGTTGTGATGATGATGATGATGATGATGATGAAAACTCATATGGAAATTTACTACTATGCTGCGACCATGTTTTTTTTTTTTTTTTTTTTTTTGCATTCTCAGGTTCATCGTGCTAAAGCGAGAGAAACCGTGGACAAAATTAATTTTTTTTTTCTCTCTCTCTCTCTTTCCCCCCTTTAATGGGAATAAAAAAAAAATGTTTTTCTCATAATTTATCCGCAAGTTAAAAAAAGAAAAAAAAAAGAATGAGAATTAGGCGAACGATTATGACCGTCATAAAAAGTTGCTTTAGGTATCGCCGAGGTGATCAAAGGAAGAAAAATTGGTTTTTACGATTACCGTTGCAATGGTTTTGCATTAGATGTATAAAAAAAATATATATTTAGGTTTTAAGGTTTTCTCTCTTTTTTCGGGAGGGAGGAGGGATGGGAGGAGGAAAAGGACCCCGAAAACTATGCCATTGGAAAGGAATTTTTTGCGTTTTGTTGTTGTTGTTGTTGTATTTGTAATGTTTGACTTATAATAAATTTTTTTAAGTGACAACACAACTTGTGGTTTTAGAAAATAAAGAGAGAGAGAGGGGGGGGGAGAGGGGGGAAAATTGTTTTCTATCATTCATAAAAACATTTACAAAGGCATTTTACTTTTGCAAAGAAATTTTGTGTTTTGAGTATATTTAATTCTTTTTCGGACAAAAAAAAAAAAACTTTTATTACAATGGTGGAATGCTTTTTTTTTTTTTTTCTTTCTTTCATTTTTCGTTCGTTTGTGTTCGGCGTGTGCATTTAAAATCGTTTCTTTCCTTTTTTCCTTTTTCGAACCTCAAGGGGTGAAATCGATCGATCACATGATGGATGGAATAAAAAAAAAAAAAAAGGAAAATAATGAATGAGTATTGAAATGATGAAAAATTAACGGTTAAGGAAAACACAACATGATGTGACGACATTGAATTTGTTTAGATGAAAATTTTTTTTTTTAAAGGTTTCTCTCCCCCCCCTCTCTCTCTGTCTCTTTTTCTATCATATTTAAAAAGTTAATAATAGTAATTTGTATTTTTTTTTCCTTTTTTTTTGTTCGTTTCGTTCGATTGACATAAATTTTTTTAAATATAAAATGGCGCTCGAGAGTAGTTGTAAATTGAACCTTTTCTCTCTCTCTCTCTCTTCCGATTATTTAATGTAAAACCGTTAACGGATTTAAAAACACGTCCCACGTAAAAAAAAAAAAAAAAAAAAACGTTCGGGATAGTCAATCATCGTGTAATTATCGTAGAAAAACCCAATTTTTTTTAAAAACTGTAATGAAAATTGTGGATAATGTGTGGGGAGGTATGAGGGGGGAGATAGGGAGGGGAGGAAAGAAAACGAAAAATTCCGCTAAAATTTGTTCTTGTTGTTGTTGCCGACGTTTTTTTCTTTTTTTTTTTTTCTTCTTCTTCATGGTTATTAAATTTCATATCTCCTGTGAATTGTTTTTTATTCGAGCATTTTCTTGGTTTCAATTACCCTCATCGTTTTTAAAAAAATCAAATTAAAGGAAGCGTTTTTATACGCATTCGATACGTCGCTTTCAATCGGATGTTTTTCTTTTTTTGAAGGTTTCCGTTCAAACATTCAGAAAAAACAAACAATGAAAATTTAAAACTTTGTAAAAAAAAAAAAAAACAAAAATTTTAACGGTTTTTCCGCCCCCCCTTCCCTCCCTCCTCAAAGTTTTCACGAATAATTTGTTTGTTATTTATTACTTTTTTTTTTTTATCGAACGTAATAATTTTGCAATATGGCGCACGAAAATTTATTTTTAAGGGGGGAAAAAATAAAAAATAAGATGAAAGTATTTCGTGTACAACCAAAACAACAACAACAATCAAATGGGCGTGACGACAAACGAATTTTCATAGATCGATTGGAAAAGAAATTTTAAAATTTATTTTTTTCTATTTCTTTTTCTTTCACACATTAGCCACATATGTTTCTCTCTCTCTCTCACACACACACTCAAATTTTTATAAGAAGTAAAAAAAAAATGGCGAATTTCAAGATGTTATAAACAAATAACAGTTGGTAATACTGTGAAAAATGCAAAAAAAAAAAAAAAAATTTTATATATAAGATTTTATCAGGTTTTTTTATTCAGGATGAAGGAGGTATATGGGGAGGGATTTGGGGGAGGGAACATCGGTTGTCGTAAATTGATTTTTAGACGATTGAGCGACAAAGTCAAACCGCGTTTTTTACATTCTTTCATATACGAGAGAGAAAGAGAGATATTAATTATTTACGAGGGAATAAATATAAAACTAAATTTTCACGGATGAACAAACACATATTCGCATGAAGCGAATTTTTTTTTTTTTTTTTTTTTTTTTTCCTCCCTATCGTCACATTATAATTTTTATTTTATTGTTTAAACGTACGTGGACGTAAACGTGGACGTAAACGTGGACGTAAACGTGGACGGGGACATTTTAAAATTAAAAAAAATTTTTTTTTTAAAACAACAACAACCGATTAGAAAACGCACAACAACGATCAACGCACAACTACTTATATTTTTATTGTTTTTTTTTTTTTTTTTTTTCAAATTACAAAAACTTTAAATAACTTTTATTATTATTATTATTATTAAAATTAAAATCGTGATCGAATTCAAATTATTATTCCCCTGTCTAAAAATTTTAAGGTGTTTTAATTGTCGGCATTTGATTCATTTAAACAAAAAAAAAAAAAAAAAAAATTTTTGACGTGTATCTAGAAACAAAAAGAAAAGAAAGAAAGAAAGAAAGAAAAATTGACCTTTCAAATCTAGATCTTTAGAAAGAATGGAGAAACGTTGTTGTTGTTGTTGTTTTTTTTTTTTTTTTCGAAGGGCGGAGCGAATCAAAGGAAAAGGTTGAATCCCATAGGTACGAGGTATACGGTGTTGTTGTTGTTGTTGTATATAAACAATTTACCCCAAACTACATAATACGCGGGTAGCATTTAACAATAATATTTTGACTTTTCAACCGAGAGTTAGGACTTTTTGATCCCCCAATAAATAACTTTTTAAAAACATCTATCTATTATTGTAATAATAAAAGATTTTGTCGTTGTTGCATTCTTTTCGAGAGAGAGAGAGAGAGAGAGAGGGGGGGGGGAGAGAGAAACCCCGAAGGGCACAAAAAAAAAAAAAATAACGTCACCCGCAACGTGTAAAGTGTTTTTTTTTTCTTTTAGTTTTTTTTTTTTTTGTATGAAAAAGGTTTTAAGGTTGACCATTTATCGTGTTTAGGTTCAAGGGTCAACAGAAACGACAACAGCACCAGCAGAGGCTCGAGAAAATTTCCCTCCAATTCTCCTCTTAAAAAATAATTTTCTTTAGGTTTTTCCACCAGGTGAAAATTTTTTTTTTTTCCCTAAACGTTTCCTTTGAGATTTAATATTAAAATATTAATCATAATAATAATAATGGTGCATCCCCTTTTGTATGACGTACCTAGGTTGCATATATATATCGAAATTAAAGATCACGTGAACACAAAAGTTTTTTTTTTAATATTAAACTAGTCAGAAATTATAAGTTTTTCCACACACACACAACAAACACAAACACAAACACATAGGGAATAGTTCAAGGTTTTTCAGGTACCTTTTCAAGGTTGTTTAAATAAATTTTAAGTTCATCACACAAGAAATCTATATTTTAAAAACCGTAAAAAAAAAAAAAAAAAAAAAAAAAATTTTTTTTAAAGAGAGAAAATATCATCATCATCATCATCATCATCACCATCGTCGTCGTATTACTTTTTTTTTTATTTTTTTTTAGGGGGGGGGGAAATTTTTCCGGTTAACGGTGAGGGGATGGGGGAATAAAAAAATTTTTTAAAACGTGTGAAAAAAAAAAATTCAAATTCTTTCAAGTCTTATTATTATTTTTTTTTTTTTTTAATAAAAGATTGCATATTACAATGGCGATTTTTTTTTTTTTTTTTAAAAGGTTGGCAAATCCGTTCGAAGAGTAGAAAGAAAGAAAGAAAGAAAGAAAAAAAAAAAACGTTTGCCAATTATTTGAATGAGTGAATTTTTGATTTTAAAATTTACACGGATGATTTGTCTTATATGGTTATTATTATTATTATTATTATTATTATTATTATTATTATTATTATTATTATTATTATTATTATTATCATTATTATTATTATTATTACTCGAGATAATTGTCTTACACACGATTTTGACAGACGGTTATACCTGTTATACATTGTCCGCTCTCGCTTAAAAAAAGTTTTCTTTTGATATCGCCCCCCCTCGTCGTTTGTTTGTTCGTTTGTGTGTTTGTTGTGTGTGTGTGTTTGTGTGAGAGAGTGCCGAGAAAGGAAGAACAACAAGAACAAGAAGGAAAAGAAAAAAAAAAAAATTAAAAATAACTTTTTTGTAAAAAAAAAAAAAATTATCCGATTCAAAGTTAAAACTTGTAAAAATATTCTTGTGCCCCATTGTTGATATTGAATTTGTACTAAAAACTCTCTAAGGGTGGCCCGTTTTTTTTTTTTATCTGACAGAATTCCACGTCTTTAGTGTTTGTGTTTGACTAAAATAAGTGCTTTGAACGTGTAATAATAATAATAATAATATTGAAATAAAAGAACATAAATGTACCGACGATTCCAGCCAGGGGGGTTCCGCTTTTCCCTTGTCGATGTGACCCAAAAAAAAAAAAAAACCATTTATTTATTTATTTATTTATTTATTTATTTATTTTCTTTAAAAGTTTGTCTTATTTGTGCGTCCATTGAAAGATGTTTGTGGTTACCCATGACGCCGCTTTTTACTTCTGTTGTTCTCCGCTTCCTGCATCTCTTAAAAAATTTTTTTTTTTTTTTGAATGAAGTGAAAATGTTTTTCTCATCATCATCATTATTATTATTTATTAACTTGAATTTTTCTTGTGTGTTTTGCAGAGGTGTAAAGAAAAATTAAATACTTTGGCCATATCTGTAATGAATCAATGGCCTGGTGTGAAACTTCGAGTGACCGAAGGATGGGACGAAGAAGGACATCACGCCGCCGACAGTTTACACTACGAAGGAAGAGCCGTTGACGTGACGACATCCGATCGCGATCGTAGCAAATATGGAATGTTGGCAAAACTTGCCGTTGAAGCCGGTTTCGATTGGGTCTATTACGAATCGAGAGCTCACATTCATTGCTCCGTTAAATCAGGTAAATGCCAAAAACTAGCCCTTATGGAAAATCGTGCGGAAAATTCAAATAACCCCCCCCTTTTCCTCCCTCCCAAAAAAAATAAGAAAACCTATCAACGAATGCCTGAAAAAATCCATTTTCCCCCCTTTCGGTAAAAAGAAATTTCTATCGCGTTATTAAAAAAAAAAAAGAGAGAGAGAGAGAGAGAGAGAGAGAAACTTAGCATGGCATGGCAGACACTGGATTATTGTATTTACCCTACCGATAATCACTCGAGAAAAAAAAAATAAAAAAAAATAAAATAAAATAAAACGAAACGTGTGAAGGTAAGAAGAACCTGGAATGCTGTCAAAAAGATAGTGTATCAGGTATCAGGTTCCACAATAAGATACACGATCTATTAACAGAAATATTCCTGTAATGACCTTTTATTAGTCGCTTTATTTTTTTATTTTTTCTACCATTTTTTTTTTTTGTTTGTACGTCATCCGCGTCCTCTTCGAACCGTACCTTAATCGGATAATTTTGTGCTACGCGCACGCACAAACAAAACAAACTATTCTTCTATTTTGTCTCAAAAAAATTAATCATCAATGTTGTGTTTGTTACAGAATCATCTCAAGCGGTTAAAACGGGAGGTTGTTTTCCGGGTGGTGCCAAGGTACGAACGAAAACGGGTGTGAAAAAATCATTGTCATCATTGGAAATCGGAGATGAAATCCAAGTCGTGGATTCGGAAACTGGTGATTTAAAATTTAGTGAAGTTCTTTTGTTTCTCGATAAAAAACCGGAAAACGTTAAACATTATTTAAATATCGAAACGAAATCGGGTAAAAAACTTCAGGTGACTCCGTCACATTTAATAGTCGCCATTAAAAACGCGGGTTATCAACATGATAATAATAATTTGATAACGGAAAGGACGGGAAAAAGTTCGGGAAAAAGTTTTAAAGATTTCGAAACATTTTTCGCATCGGAAATAGAAATCGGTGACGCATTACTAACCGTCGGTCGCGACGGTGATGAAAAACTAACGGACGAAGTCGTGAACGTGACAAACGTTCGACACGAAGGCGTGTACGCTCCCCTAACGGTCGAAGGAACCATTGTGGTCAACGATGTTGTCACTTCATGTTACGCCGTCATAAAAAGTCATAATTTAGCACATTTAGTCTACGGTCCTTTAAGGTTATACCATAATTTTCAACTGAGCTTTAAAAGGCTGTGGGAAAACACGCTCAAGCCGTTCGCAATCATTAATAAATCCGATTCTAATAATAATAATAATAATAGTAATTATAAAGGAGATAATAATGATAATAATAATAGTAGGAAAACGATAAAAGGAGGGATTCATTGGTACGCGAACGTTTTGTTCACCGTTGCCGAATATGTTTTACCATCTTCAATGATGTATGGTTCGTGAGAACGTTCCGAACGTTCCAGATTTTTTTCCTTTTTTTAAATGGAGAATCGATCGATGGCGTTCGACTGACAAAGGATAGAAGAAGATGGGAGGACAAAAAAAAGGTTTTCGTGCGAAGAAGAAGAAGAAGGAAGAAGAAAAAAAGTGAGAGAGAGGAAAACAAAATCACAGATAAAATCATCATCATCATCACCATCTTGGCGGCGGCGGCGGCGGCGGTGCAAGGTTGGTGTCTTTCTCTCTCTCTCTTTCATCTCATTTCATCTCATTTCATCTCACCTGTGGCTTCTCATCTCGCCTTTTCCAGAAAGAATTTTTAAAGTCACGATTTTTTCGTTTTTTTTTTTGTTTATTACGTTAATCCAAAAACCGAATGGGTAAAAATTCGGAAATTATTATCATTATTATTATTATTATTATTATTTCATAAATTGCTATCGAAAATCGAGAGAAGAATAATACCTGTGTGAGAGTTTTTAAGGCAAATTAAAAAAAACGAAAGGAAATGAGAGAGAGAGAGAGAGGGAAAGAGAAAAAGCTGTCTTTAAATCAAAGAAAGAAAGAGAGAGAAAGAGTGATTTTACTTGAAAATACAATCTATCTATCTCTCTTTCTCTCACTGCTACTCGTCTCTCTGAATGCCCCGCCTCACCGCCGCCACTGCCACCGCCTCATCGAATTGGGTAGGATAATCATTTTGAAATTGGTACACCTGATTTGCAGCATTTTTATTATTATTATTATTATTATTATTATTGTATATAAAAAAAACTCGGTCCTCGCACGGTCGCTCACGCCTACCAATCGCTTTTTTTTTTTTTTTATAAATGTCGGACCGAACGTTTAAAAAAAAACCCGACTGGAAAAATTTGTCGCGCACCGCCGACGTTGACGATGACGTCATCGACATTTCCGCTTTTTTTTTCTTTCTCACATTTTTTGTAAATATTTGTATTAAGAAAAATAATAATAATAATAATTTTTTTCATTAATACCAACGTCAAAAAAAAAAAAAAAAAAAAAAATTGTACAGGTTTTTTTTATTATATGCGATACGCACACGGTTATAAATATAAATAATTTAAAAAAAAAAAAATTTTTTTTATTATCATTTTTTCGATGACCTCTTATCAATTTCTGATTTTTCTTTTTTACGTTTATCAATAATATTCCCTACGTTAAAATTTATTAATTTTTTTTCCGCCATTTTGTTTTTTTTTAAATCCAAACATTTCGGACGAAAAAATTAAATTTCGCGTTTTAAATTGATAATAGGAAAATGATAGGGGATTTATTTTCAAATTAAAAAGGTTTTAATAATAATAATAATAATAATAATAAATTAATATCTAAAAAAAAAAAAAAAACAACAAATTTATTTACTTGACAAATTATTTATAATTTTTTATTTAAAAAAAAAAAAAAAAATCGTATCCTTTTTTTTTTTTAAAGCATTTAAACTTTTTCTTTCTTCTTCTTCTTTCTCGTCTTATTTTTATTTATTTATTTATTTTTTTAAATTCTATCTAAAGCAAACTACAAAATTTCTATTTGAAACTAAAAAAAAATTTGAGGGTAGAGAACAAAACAAAACAAAAAAATTGTATTTTTTTTTTATTACAAGATGTTTAACAGTTTGCTTTGGTCATATTTTTTTGATGAATTAAAAAAACCCACGATTTTCAACAACAGCAACAACAACAACAACAGCATCAGCACCACAATCATTCTTATCATTATTATTTTATTTAATCGAGGTATTTTCTTTCTTCGAATATATCTATATATTTCGTGTTTTAAAATTTGTCCTCCATAAAAAAAAATTATTTTTATTATCATCATCTTATAAGTTGTTTATATATAAATAAAATAAAAATTATCTTCATAATTGAATAATCGTGTCAATAAATTTATAATTTTAAATTTTATTACTATATAAAAAAAAAAAAAAAAAATGAAAATTATTCCAAATTTATATAAACGCGACGTTGAATTTATTTTATTTAAATATTTTTTTATTTAAATAATAATTTCTTATTTGTTACATATTAAATCGAGGTCTTTACATCATCAAGACTAGTGATAATATGCCTTTTATTTTATTTTATTTATTTTTTTTTTTATGTAATAAAATGGCAACTCGAATATGAAATTGTATTTTTTTTTTATAATACATAAATATCAATTGAAATTTATCAAGGTAAGAATATTTAAACATTATTATTTAATTAAAAGCTGCAGGTGGCATAATTTCAAATAAATGATGAAATTAAACGAATCGAAAAAAAAAAAAAAAAATAGATTTGTGTGTGTGTGTGTGTGATCGAATAAATAGTTAATTACGAATAAATTTATTTCATTGGTAACTTGGTTGTCCTAAACTTGGTGGACCTAATTGTGATGGATCTTCTAAGGCTGGATTAATAGGTTTGAATTGTTCTGCTGATAATCTAGTGAATAATATACCTATACCCTCGATTAAAGCCAATAAAGCTCCACCTATAAAAGCTGAGCCGGCCATTGCCGGTAATCCATTTCTAGCAGCTAATATGCCACCTGTCGCAGCACCAGATATAATTGAATTCCATGGATCCTCTTTTTTCCTAAAGTGTACTAGTGTACAATCTATGGTCGAAAACATTCCACCCCAGACAGCAAAGTTTCCAGCTACTATTGGTGATCTTTGTTTAATAGCATCTAAACTTCCGAGTAAACGTCTACTGATTCCTGAGGGAGCATTACGAAAACCTTTGATAGTTTGAAAAACACCACCTCCAATCATTCCCATTGTGAATGCACCACCGCAATCATCAACTATTCTCCAAGGACATGGCTCCCTTGCATATTCTTCCATTATAGCAGCTAATATTTCTGTAATTATACATAAATTTATAAATGTGATGATGTTTTAGGCTTTATCACTGCCGGCATATATCACAAAAAAATTAAATCACAAACAAATATCGTTAAATTAGGTTAACGCGTATTAAACAGCGTCCGATTGGTAAATTATATAATGTTTTTATTTTGTTGTTAATGTATTTTTTCATTTACCCGATAAATGGAAAATTTCCAAAAAAAAAAAAAAAAAAAAAAAAAAAAAATGGTTATCGAAAAAAATAGTTGTGAGTAATCAAATGAGTTAAGGTTAAACTGACAATAAGCTATCGACTTTTACGGTTTAAACGACATTAATTTTAATTTCTAATTTACTTACAAATTTTTTTCAATTAGAGTACGTTTTTTTTTTATTCTCACAATGTAAATAATAGAAAGTAAAATTTTGTACACATTGATTTTAAACACAGATTCGAGGAAAAATGTATTTTTTGGCAAAATGCATCATAGAGTATATAAATAATAATATATATTTCATAAATTGTAATGATGTAATTTTCAGCAACAAAAAAGGGGCCCTGAAAATAAGCAAGGCAGGCTGTGTATACAAATCACGAGACAAGTGGGTAAAATTTTTTCAGTTTTGATCGATATCAGGCGTTGTCATTTTAATCTTTTCATAGCTTTCTAAATTTTTTATTGTATAAAGTAGATTTTAAATTATTTGGCGTTAAAGATTTAAAACACCCAATATGGGTAGCTTATTTAGAAGTGAAGAGATGGCATTATGTCAACTCTTCTTGCAAAGTGAAGCTGCATATGCCTGCGTTTCTGAACTTGGAGAACTTGGTCTTGTACAATTTCGAGACGTAAGTATTGTGGTAATAATCATAATCATAAAAAGAACAACGTTTAACTAAATTAATTCAAAATCAAATATTATTATTTAAAAATATTAAAACATGAGGAAAAGTATATTTTTTTTTATCAAAGCTAGAAAAAAGAAATTGTACCAAGAAAAATTTACAAATAATAATTTATACCCATCTCAAGTTTTTTTTTTTTTTTTTAAATAGAAAAGAAATTGATAAAATTTAATTTGTTGCTCATAAATTTTTTTTTAAAAAAAATATATTTATAATGTCATATATTTCATTAAATATTTGAGGAAGATTAAAATGTGTTTTAGGTTGCTTTTAAAATCTAGGCCATTTATTACATTGTACTTTATTGAAACTTTTTAACTATGCCATTGTTATATTTCAATAAACCTTCTTCTTAACAATTTTTAAAAAAAAATTTCGAAAAAAATAAGTTGATCACATGATGAAATAATAAATTTGATTTTTATTTATTTCTCCAACTGTCTGTACAGTTTTTGCACTTTATCAAGTTAATAATTTTTTTTACACAATAAATAAATAAATAATATTATAAAAACTGAAAAATTTTATTACAAATTCAGCGAGAAATTTGACATGGATGTTTGACTCGTCCTTCGTTCGAAAATGATTTTCGAAAACAGATTTCCAAAAGACTTAATATGAATATGATGATTGAGAGTAATTTTTTTTTTTTTTTTCACCTTTATAATTTCTATAATAATAATAATTATACAATATGATAAAGTTGTTTGAATAGAAACAATTTTTTTTTTTTTTCTAAATGTGAATAATTAAATGAAATATTCGAGTTTATAAAATTGTATTATACTAAATAAACAAATCTTTAACATTTTGTTAATTTTGTTAATTACCCATATTATCGATGAATCGTTAATAATAATAATAATAATAATAATAATGCTTTCAATCAGGAAAAAAAAAAAATTTTTTTTTTTTTTTATATATATATCTACATATATATATATATATTTAGTTTACTAAATCATTATTATCGATAATACAAACATTAATATTTGAAATGTTTTCATTTTTATTGTTGATCCTGTATTGCAAGCATTAGTATCACAGCAGTACATAGTTCCCTTTCCAGGTTGCCAAGTAGTATTTTCTACAGATTTTTTATCTTTTCCATCACAATCATCTGGTGCACCGCAAGTCCTCGTTATATATTTAACATTATTCTCTTCCGTAACTAATTTTAAACACCGGGATTTTCTATTCAAACACAAATAAGGATCGCATTCTTTTTTAAAATTACCATCGTTTTTAAATTTACAAAACACACAGTTTCTAAGGGCAAGAGTTAGAGTTGCAAATGATAATATGAATATAATTTCAACTTTCATTCCTAACGAAATGAATATTTTTAGCTTCGAACGGGGGAAACCTTATTGTTATTACTAATTATTATTATTATTATTATTATTATTATTATTTATTTTTTGTATTTTTCTTTCACATTTGATATTATTTTTGTGATATCATTTTGTTGATTTCACTCTCGCGCCATGTCTTTACCTTCTTCATGTGATCAATTTCGTTTTTTTTTTTTTTTTTTTTTTTTTATTCCTTAATTTATATATATATATAAGAAAAATAACTATTACGCAAAAAAAAAAAAAAAAAAAAAAAAAAATTGTGTTAGAAATTATTATTTATAAATATACGCCATATAAACATTGCTGATTTTTAAAAATATATATATATATTTACATTTGTCTATTGTTTTTATAAAGTTTTTCAAAATGACAGAATTAAGAACGAACGATATTTGTTGTTTTTTTTTTTTCCTTCTCCCCCCCCCTCTCTCTCTCTCTCTCTCTCTCATTTGTATTAATCATCATTTTTTTATTTCAACCGGAAATAATTAATAATAATAATGAGAAAAATTATGTAATTTACAGCTCAATCCGGATGTGAACGCGTTTCAAAGAAAATTCGTTAACGAAGTGAGACGTTGCGATGAAATGGAAAGAAAACTTCGTTATTTGGAAAAAGAAATTAAAAAAGATGGGATACCAATGTTGGACACGGGGGAAAATCCGGAAGCACCTCAACCTCGGGAAATGATCGATTTGGAAGTAAGGAAAAAAATTAATTATATCGAATGACCCCAAATTTAAGGCCAACTAGATTTTCCCACATTGCATACTAATAATAATAATAAGTAAGGTTTTGTTCGTTACTAATGTTTAAATTTTTTTTTTTTTTTTTTTTTTTTTTTTTACATAAAATTTCCAATGGAAAATCAAATAGGCGACATTTGAAAAGCTCGAAAACGAATTAAGGGAAGTCAATCAAAATGCGGAAGCGCTCAAAAGGAATTTTTTGGAATTGACGGAATTAAAACACATTCTTCGTAAAACTCAAGTGTTTTTTGACGAGGTATGTAGTAAAGGTCAAAGGTTATTTTTTCGTTTTTGGTTATTTATTAATACGATTACGATTTTAGAAAATTTTTTTTTTTTTGGAATTCTGTGTAACCGTTCACTGTCACCATCAAGTGATAGTAGACAGATTCCTTTGATTTTGAATCATGAATCAAAGGAATCATGAAAAGGAAAAAAAATATATATATATATATATAATATAATATAATATAATACTTTTTTGTTTTTCTTCTTTTAGAGAAAAGGTTACACAGTAATTCGTTATATTATTATTATTATTATTATTATTATTATTATTAATTTTAATAATATAAGTTTTAAAAGGAGAAATTATTGGCAAACTATAGAGAGTGAATTCGTTTATTCATTTGTTTGTTTTCTTTTTTTTTTATTTATTTTTTTTTAATTTTAAAATTTTTATTTGATGAAAAAAAGTTGAAATTTGAAATAAAGAAGAAACGACACACTATGATTTGCCAATAATAATAATAACATTATAAAAATAATGATAATTATTAAAAGTTTATTCAGCCTGGCACACATTAATAAACCGTTCAAAGTTCTTTATGGCATCAATTCTTATTTTTCTCTCTTTATTTATTTTATTTATTTATTTTATATTATTTTATTTATTTTATTTATTTGGCTTCAATCATCGATTTTTTAATTTAAAAATATTTGCAAAACAATTAATTGTTGCTTGTCTACTTTTTTTTTTTTTTTTTTTTTTTTTTTTTCCCCCCAGTAAATATTTAAATATGGCTGACAATGATGATTGATCAAATTATGTTTTTTTGCTTTTAATTGAAATGAAAAAAAAAAATTTTTTTCTCTTACTATTATTATCATTATTATGCTTTTTTTTAAAAAAGGAATGAATGCCTGTAGGTATTGATTTTTTTTTTCCTCCTTTTTTTTCTTTAATTTTTTTTT